TGGTCGCCCAATGTTTCGATTGCGTCCTGTCCAGTCAAGGTCGCGAACGAGTTGGAGCCATCTCAAGTTGTTGCGTTCCGGACGACAGTTGTGTTGACGTAGCCACTCGTGCGCTCGGCTGGTGGGCCAATCTGGATGGCTTTAACTGGTCGCATGCGGTAAAGAACCGCGGCGAATGGTTTGAGAGCAGCGCCTTCCACCACGCACCAGCACGTGCATCCACATGGTTTGCGTCAGATATGATGTCGACCAAATTGAACTGTTGGGTACTGAGTTGATCAGTCCACGAGCGCTGGGTCAATGGGTTTTGTGGAACGTGAAATCTGCAACCACAACACGATTGATGCCACCGACGAGATATCGCCTCGGTTCAGGGGTTGAGCAAGTGTGAGGGCAAGTGCTTTTGGCGTACTTAAAGCCCCGTCGAACGTAAAGGTTTCCCAGTTAAGGGCTCTGAGGCATGAGGCATGACCATGTGAGATCGTTTCACAAACCGTAACTGAAGCCATAAATAGATCCCCTATTCGAGCTGACAACGACCCAAAGACACGGGCAAATGAGCGCAGCTCCATTCCCCTTCTCGATCTCTCCTCCCTTCTGCCGTTCGACTTCAGCATCGCGGAGCAGGGGCCGAGTTTAACAACAGCAACTACCCTAGTACTCCTCGTGTGGCCAGTGCAGCGAATCCATTGACACACCGGCCACAAATGGGAGAGTTCGAGCTCCCCACTGGCCACCATTCCCTCTTGCGCTGCTGCCGGAGGCGGTGATTTCGCCATGATGTGAGCACAGCAGCACGAGGAAACCTTTGACGAACTACGAAAGTCGCTGACGTAACCTAATATTCAGTCCATCAATCACTTCGCGAAACATATCTTGTATTTATACTAACGTCTGGGTATTTGCACCTCAGCCCAATCGATTTCCCCACTTCTAGATTGGGTCGGCGATGAAGTAGAGCGAGCAGGTAAATCGACTCCATGCATGCCTTTCGCCATTGTATGCGTAGTGAAATTTGAACAATTGTGGAGTTTACTGTTTTCTCCTACGCGCGAGGTCATGTTTGCGAATACTGTAGTCACCGTTTGTCGACGTCTGCTCGACTCACCGCACATTACATTATTAACTCCCTTATTGGAAACCTCTAAAATATCATACAGGTAAATCTTATATCAAGGGTTGACCTCGATATAAGTTTTTTTTTAGAGCAGCCAATCACAGAATCGACCAAATGGCCATTGATTTTCTTTGCGTGTGAATGTCAATGAATTCCACTTTCATTTTTGACCAATTATATTGCTTCATTTCCATAATTTCATACCTCCCCAATTCGATATCAAAACCTCTCAAATCTGTATTCCAATAAGGGAGGTAGTACACGCCGATTTCCCGCGTGCCACCTACCTACCATTTGGAATGTAGCTTCGTTTTCAAATTGCGCACTTTTTAGAGATTCGCTTTTTAATGGAGAAGGTCGAATTAAGTACGAATGGGGAACAACCGAGTCCACGATGCTGCCGACGACAACCTACACGTTCACCAACGGGGTCCATGGGACCATCACGGTAGCGCGCTATCTAGCACTAACTCCTCATTGAGATGTTGTGTTGGCGTCGAGCAGGTGGTGCATCTTTCTGCTGGAGGGGCTGAAATTGTGGCAGACCTGGACATGACTAACGTTGACCTTGACATACTGCGATCGCTGGATCCAAAATGTGAATCCGTGAGTGCTTACAAGTGGCATATCCACACTAAATGGACCCATGAACCAAGTGTCAAGTCTGGGTACGTCCACTGTAGCTTCCTGTGCGTTAACTCGTGAGACTACATGTACAGTCTCTTCGGTCAGTGTTCGCTCTCCGCGGCAGGCAACCACTACGATCCCGACTTTGCATGTGGCCCCAATTCGGAGTACGTAACCGCAGACAAGTGCAAGGCGGCCACGTCGTCTTATAAATGCTCCCCCGCATTGTACGCCACGAACCCTCTCGTTTGTGAACGTGGAGACTTGTCTGGGAAGCTTGGTGACATGCAGGTCGGACACGGAACGTTAGAGCTTTATCAAAACTATTCAATAGGTTGGTAAGACTGGCAAGATCTCACATACTTGGATCGACAACCACTACCCCGACGTCAGCGAAAGCACGCCGCAGTGGAACATGCTCTTGCATGCCGTCTGCAACTCCACCACGCCACGTGTCGCTTGTGCTACTGGTGTCACGACTCACGAACGCCTGTACGCGACTCCCGTCGGTCTCGTCGCCGCTACACTCGTGATTGCGCTAGTTGCGTGTGTCGGATTACGCCACCACCCGACATTTGGCCGATTCTACCCCACCAATTTGGCTGTCGTAGCGAGTTTGGGCGTGTTAGCCCTGCTTGTTTACCAAGACATTGTGGTGAATGTGTCACTGTAAATCTACTAACTCGGTGGCAAGTGTTTTTTGCATTCCTCGTTACCCGAACGCAGGAAGCTCCTCGTTCTCTGATTTAGCTTGCTGCGAAGCATGCTTATGTGCATCATGCCGGAGCTGGACGAGGTGCCAGAATACTTCCGTCAAAGTCAGGTAGCATTCCACGCCGTGCGATGACACAGCCGCTGGAACTTCACCAGTCCCGCCCACTCGCGTGGCACATGAACACGCGCTGGTTGCAAGATTTACATTATTATGCTGGAACCCAGCTGCGAAAGACTTCGTAGCAGGCGAATTGGATTCCCATGTTGGGCATAGCTCGTACGAGGGTGGGCGTAAGGCCACGGTAGTAGCTCCGCAGACCTTCAACTTGGTACAGCTTGATGTAGCAGTCAATGGTGTGTTTGTACAGGCGCTTGGCTCCGTCGCTTCCTTGCATTTGCATTCGTCGCCGAACCGTGTCGTTTGGGTACGTCAGGACGGTGGCGACCATGCCGGCGCCACCACCACACACGAGTTTCCCGAGAAAATCCGTCTTTGGGTCCACTTCAGTGGGTAATAACTCGCGGAACAGATCATACGAACCGAACTTGATGCCCTCGTAAGGAATGCTTCCAACCAGGGTCGGTCCCATGCCCTTGAAGAGAGCCAACGCGCCTTCATCGCGGACGATGGTGACGAAAGCGTGGAGCATGCCGCGGTATTGCGCTTGTGACGAAATTTTACCCGACAGGCGCGTGCGAATGAAGTCGAGTGGGTATGTGAGGATACATGCAGTGAGACCTGCACACGCTCCCGCGACGAAGCCCAGGCGTGCACGGTCGATTGCCACGTGCTGCTGCGACGCCAGCATACTCTTGTAGATATCGGTCCATCCAAAGAGCACCGCCTTGTGGGGTAAAATGCGCACGCAAGCAGCAAAATTGCCTCGCCAATATCCAAGCACGCCTTCGGTTTGGGCAATTCGCTGGGCCGTTGCGAGCATTCCCACGGCAGAGTCTCCGGTCTGGCACACAATCTTCACGCGTTCAAACGGTGCAACAGCCGTCTTGGCCACGACACCGGCCATGCCGCCGGCAGTCATGAGTCCCAGGCTCTTGTCCTTTGGCTTTCTTGTGGCCATCCTGCAGGAATCGCCGTGACGTGTCTGTGACGACGATTTGAGGTGCAGAATTACATTGCATCAATTTATCAAATGATAAATAGTATTCGGTTTCAGAGGTATCATATTCAACAGGTTTTCTTTTCGAATGCTCAATTCTTAAGCGTTCATCATGGACCGCTTCGTGCATCCGATCGGCGCAGCCACCGACGATAGCACATTCGCCTCCAAGCCCAACGGGCGAATGCGCCAAACCAGAATAGAGCATGGTTACAAGGTGGAGGTCGTCGAAGAGATCGTGCAACTCGCGCAAGTGATGGACATGAGCGAGGAGAAGGAGCTGCCCCTTTTGCTGCACGAACTCGACGGGCGCTTCATCTCGTTGGAGCTACTGGAGCAAACAGACATTGGCAAAGCGCTCGTACGATTATACCGACGAACAGATTCGGATACGGTACAGTACATGCGTTTGTAGGAAATCCCCTCAAAACCACACTCGTAAGATCCATGATCGTCACTGAAGCTAGTGAAATAGACTCGCGAGCAAGCCAGGCAAATGCTTCGCAAGTGGAAGCGCACAGCAGTTGATGGGCTTCGACGACGGAACAAGCGGGTCGAAACGTTTGGTCGGAACATGGCGCATTGATCCTGAATCTGTCGGCCACCTTTACCCCAGTACCTTCGTCACGTTTTACACTCTGCACTGCTACGAAATCAATGTCGTTCAATGTTTGCACGTCAACAGCCCGCCTTACTCGTTGCAACGATAATCCATTCAAGGCGTTCCAGCCCTTGTCCGTCTAATATTAGCGTCTACTTAACAATTGATGGGCGCGGCGGTGTCCGACTACTTCACGACCCCCATCGACATCTCTGACGGATACCTCGGTACATATCTGCAACACACCGCGTCATCTTTCAATTCAAACCTCGCTCCAGACGACGCCGATCCGCTCGTCATCATCCACGACGCCTGCGCCAAGGGCAAGCACCACACGGCCAGCCGGTACTTTAAGCTCGGCGGCGATCCGAATGAAAAATGCTTTGAGGACGATGATATATACGTAAGCATTACCTTCATCAACCCACGTGATCCACCAAGTAGGAGCGAGATGATACCCCGATGATATGTGCCGCAAGGTTGGAACATGACCACCTCTCGTCTGATGGACTGGTTCAGGGGATGCCCTGAGGCCGGCATCCATGGAGGCACGAAGAAGCACATCTTGACCCTTCAAACGATTCTTCTCTTTGGCGGCGATGTGAACGCATATAACAAAGTATGGCAACCTCATTTAGTCACTCACTAGTGTTATGCTGGCTCGTAGCTCCATCAAACGGCGCTGTATACGTCCGTAGCGAGGGGCCACCTCAATGTTGCTGTGTGGCTGATTGAAAACGGAGCGGACGTCAACGTGGCCGACTCGGTTCGATTTTGCTTCCACTTCGTGTGCATCCATGACGTCCGACGTGCGTAGGTCGGTGTGCCGCCGTTGCTTGTGGCAGCGCGGCTTGGCCGGGTCGATCTCGTTGCGTTGCTGCTCGACAGCAAGGCAAAGGTTGACGCGCCCCCACGTCCCCACACGTGCTGCGTCCAAGTTGAATTTTCCCAACTTGTGCCATGGCTAACCCAGATCATGGACTAGTTTCCAACAATCGCGCAAGAATTCCAATCGTTTCACGGCCCTGTTCAAGCCCTTCTGTTGCAAGCGTGTCCATCCTTAGGCACGCCCCCTCCACAACCCACCGCGACAAAAATCCGACCAAATCACTCCGTCGCGGCGGCTGCTCTTGCGAGCAACCTCAAAAACCAACTCCGGGCTTTGCCGCCTCGCGCCCCGACCACCATCGCCGTGTCAACGACGAGCCTTGATCCGTTGACGCTGCGAGCCATAGCCGAATCTCAAGGATCAACGTGGTCGTTCGCCAAGCCAAAAGCCCCGCTTGCTTCCCCGACAACTTCCCTATCATCATCATCCACCCTTCCAAAGTGCCGCAGCGGGGGAAAATGGGTCAAGAAGAAACGCGAGGCGTCTGGTCGGGTGCACATCGCCGAATGGGAATATGTCAAAGCAGACTTTGCCACCGATGCCGAACGCCAATCGAACGACACACTACAGCAATGCCAAGATATGTACCGAGCGATCCAACTGAAACAAGCCCGAGCACCGGCACGAAAAGTCCACACGGCGCCGGACGGCATGTCGAGGCACGCGATGGCAGTGTCGCTATCTCGGCAACACCGACCGTCTACAGTTCCCAATTGAAATGGGAGTGACGCCAAACGCTGTAGGAAGAAGAAATATTTATTTGAAACAATCCTGGATCCATTTCACGCCTTACTAGAACGAATACGATGGTATGGTGTGGGCCAAGTCGGGGGAAGGCAGCGCATCGGACGATGGGCGCGAGTATATCCATAGGCTGCCATCTCTGCTGGTCAACGCAATCGAAGTTGCATGGAACACGATGTGGGTCAGCGGTCCAGCCGCCACTTTCACCCGCAGCACAGGGCTCATGTCGTACAGCTTGGTGTCGTCCTGCCAGTCCAATGTCATCGTTACACGGTTGGACTGGTCTCGTGCAGTTGACGTACATCGGGAAGGGTAAAGTCCCATAGACACAGGATGCCATCTTCCCCGACCGAGCCAAATCGCACCGATGTGTGGGAAGTGAACCAAGGATCGAATGCGACACTTGTCACCTGCATGCATGAAAACGACTTGGAACGGGTGGTGGGCGACGAAGCATTGCTCGAACAGTCTTTACCCACGACTCGTGACCCTCACACCGCGCAAGCGCAGAGTTGTGCTGGAGGCTCCACAGCGTGACCAAGTCATCCTGGCCGCCCGTCTGTGCCACATTATGCACACACACGACGTTGTTGAACGCACCACGATGTACAGACTGTTGGGGCTCCACGACAGGCACGTGAGCGCGCCAAAATGACTCTGCATCATGGCAATCTTCCTACATCGAGCCATGCGGTTGCACTTGGCGTCAGAGGCACAACGTCAAGGTTGTTGTCGTACCGTTGCATGTGGTACTGAAACACAGTCAAGGCGCCCGTCTTGCCAACGCACGCCATGTACTTGCCGTTGGGTGAAAACGCGAGGTCGTAAATGGCTTGGGATGATACGTGCCAGCACGCCACGGGGTTTGTTCGATCTTCACGTTGCTTCAGTAGCGTGAACTCTGCTTCTGGCTGCTCGATGTCCATCGAGTCGTACGACGACTCGTCCTGAAACGTGTGGTCGTACACGTAGATGGCCCCGTTCTCGTGCGCGACGGCAAACTCGGTGTGGCTCTGCTGGACCCACTTTGCAGCTGCAATGGGGCTGCTGCACACCCCGCCCTATCGCAACGTTTGAGGAAGGGGCTGCATGGGGACGGATACGTTGCGGTTGTGATGGGAGGATGTGTCAAGCCCATGCAGTGGATCGAACACGAGGATGTCGCAGGACGCCAAGGCGACGACTAGGTTCGTAGGCTGGACAGGCAGCATCGGCACTCGAAAGTCGTGGCAGATCGGGATGTGTGTAAACCGCATGATGTCGACGGCAGTCTACATTGGAGTGTGAGGCGTTTGGTAGACCAGGACAACCGACCTCCATGTTGTCGAACGGGTACAGAAAGAGAAACTCTCGAAAGTTGTGCAAGATAAACGTGTCAGATGACGATGAAGTTGCCTGTGCCTCGCCCGAGTACGGGATGTAAGTCGTGGTTGCGACCATCGACATGGACACATTCTTGTTCCACGGGATCTTTGGTGGGGGGAGTTCGCTTTCGTCGGGAGGTAGGATATGTTTGGCCATGTGATGGATGCGAATGGTCACGTCGTGTAGAAGTACTTCTCGTGACCGGAAATGCTGCTGGAGCGTGTACACACTTCCCGATGACGTCGCGACATGGTCCATTCCCGTGCCTCTCCAAGGACCCCGAAAGGTGCTGACACAAGGACCTAGCAGCATTTAATTGGATAAAATAAATGTAAAAATACGAGCAATTTAAAGATTTTAGCCAATAGTTATTCCCAAATTGCCGAAACGTTTCACTAGTCACGACAACGAAACTTTGAAACGGCTTGTCACGAAGCGCCGCGACAGCCATCGCAGCGACGCTGCCCATGGTATCCTCCTACTTCACTCCAACCGTAATAACGAACCGAAGACCGATGGCATTCCTTGGAGCGGTTGGATCCTCACCTTTCATCGTTATGGTTGTCATATGCATCGTCATGTTCGCGTTCACCATACTCGCTGCGTGCTGGCGGAAGCTCTGTGCACAAAAGAGGGTCAGCGACGAGGAATATGTATTGCTAAAGTCTGACGTGTGATAAGTAAATGCTTTTTGCAGTCAGTCCGCTTCCCAGCACTGCGAAGTCCATCACGATGGCTGAATGGAACTCTTGTTGACCATTCGGGGTTCAGGAAGGGCAGAAAGACTTGCAATTAGCTCATGTTGGATCAACCTCTCAATAGCAGGTCAACGTGGAATGGTATGTCGGCAAGTCAAACGTATGCGCGCATCCAAAGGACCTGAGTCGTAATGAAAGGTACATCTTTTCCCTACTTCCAATCACAATGTGCCAAACATTGTGATTAAGGCGTCCGAACAACATAAACGAACGTTTAAACTGGATTATTTGCTTGTATCCACTAGATGCTTTCGATGACGTGGCATTCAAAATTGCACGAAGTACTCAAATGGTCGTGTGCCGCAATGGCAATGGCAGACCATTCTTGACCTGAAGGCGTTCATTACATGGCAACGTAGCCGTTCGTTACAGGATATTTGGCTTCAGTTGGTTCGGGTACATGCGGCTGGGCCTGCTGCCACGCGAGACAGCAAAATCCCATGCACCCAACAATCACGAGCACCACACATACTATGGTCGCAACAGGCGGCTCGTCCTCGGAGGCAACAGCTCCATTCGACGCCGGCCATACAATGGATGCTGCCTCCGGAATCTTCGGGCGCTCGGTTGAATTGATTGCATGTCGTGATGTCTGCCATGGACGCAAGTCCGGTTCGGTCATGTCTGTCGCGTTACGTTGGGATTCCGGCGTGGCAACCTGTTGTTGCGACGAAGGCGCGGCTTGGGCAACAAGGTTGGGCTCGGGGATCCATCCACCCATGACGCAGAAAAGCATGAGCACCAGCCCCATCCATCGTGGCACCATTGCTGTGTCCACGGCGCATGAACAGTGCGCGTCGTCACGCCACTTGAGCAGTTCCACCTTGGCAGTTCGAAAATCGAATATCTTAGTCCCTGGATGGACAGAGTGCCACGTCAGCATGGGATAAACACGTAAAACACACCGACACAACGCAGTACTTCCCACTTGTAGTTAAAAACCGAAGTAGCTTCTTACATCCATCTAGATAATTTAATAAGCTTGGAAAATCAGTCCGATTACTCACGACTGTCATGTGGGATTAATGGACTAGTCGTGTTGGTTCTATCTATTCGACGAGGCGACCACCATCATGACCCGTCTGCCACGAGAGCGCTCCTTTCGCAAGCAACTCGACGGTAGTTGATGTAGGCTGAAGTCGGTATCGAGAATTTGTGGTGCCCGTGCATGTGGGCTCTGAGCACGACGGGACCAAACGAAATTTTACAAAAGGACTAAGGATTTCTGGGACTAGTCTTTGGCGGAATATCCAGAGTCGTCGTCTCCGATTGGTCCGAGGTCGTGTGCTCAATTCCGTGCGGGAGGCGGCGGTCGATTTATTGCACAAGCCGACGCCACCGACATGGCGAGCTCAGGGTACGGTCTCCTCGTGGTGCAAGGGGTGTTCCTCTTTACAGGAGTGTTCTCGACGTGTGCGGCGCAGTTTGTGTTTTATCAGGGCGCTGGAGGTACCGCTGTGTATGTCTGGATTGTTGGAAACCTAACGGCGGGACTCAACGAACGTTAGCGCAAAAGGCAATGCTGCTGCCTCTTTGCAACTACTTGGGCATGATGCTTGTTGGAGTTATTCCATCTGCGGGTTCCAGCGACACGCACCACCCTCGACCAAGTGTGTTGAAGGCAAAGAAGCACGACGACGACTTGGCCGCCACTGCGTTAGCTTTGGCCCTAACGGAGTCCACGATGAAGCGCGATGACATGGAGCTCACTCGACGGCAAGCTGACAAGGATGCCAGTAGTACCGACGTCAAAGTCATCGGCTGCGACAAGATGTCACCGGCTCCAACCTTGACGATGGCCGACTTGACTGCTCCATCGAAGCAGGACAACTACTCGACTTGTATGGGGTCGTTGACTGTCATGCAAAGTTTAATTCTGCTCAACATTCTGTTGGATTTCGGCGGCTGCATCTTCGCTAACATTGGGCTGTCCATGGCCGGAAGTGGCGTGTTCCAAGTGATCTATTCATCTGGTATGTCGACGACGCCGCTCCCTTCCTCTCTCATGCCTTCCTAGTTGTCTGCTGGTCTGCCCTCTTATCCAAAATCTTTCTCAACAAGCAGCCGTCCCAGGTAGGCTTCCGCCAAACGCTGCGCTGGATGCATCCCATTAAACACTGTCAAAGTACGAATGGCTCGGCATAGCAATCGTTACCTTTGGCTTGGCGTTCAGTGCGATGGGTCAGTCGAACGGCGGACGCAACGCCAGCTATGTGCTCATGGGGTGTGTCAACACGTTGATCGGAGCAGCATTCTACGGGGGCAACTATGGTAAATACCAGTCGTTCCTTCATTCATGAGGCTAATGCACGACATGGTTTTTCAGTGACGGGCGAATTTATCTTGATGCTTCCAGAACGCCCAGAACCGAAAGATCTGTGCCTGAAGATGGGCATCTGCTGCGTTTCGATCATTTCCGTGTACCAAATGTTTTGGGTCCTCCCCCAGTGGACGCACATCATCACGGAGCCGGTCATGCAAGCCAACGGCGACCCGATCCGCATCCTGGGGGCGCTCTTCCTCTACACTGTGTCGCAACTCGCACATGGCTTGACCTACTTTATGATGCTCGGGGCGTGCGGCGCCGTCACGACGGGCATCATGCAAAGTCTGCGGGCGGTGTGTGTGTTTGGTTTGAGCTCGATGCTCTATTGCAGGTACTTTTGTTTTCCTCAATTTCCTGGAACATGGCACTGCTGGATCAAGCACATGACCCTGTGTTGATGGATGTCATGCTGTGTTGGAGTAGTCACCAAGAATCGCAGTGCTTTGACGCGAAACGCGGCATTGCGACGTTGTTTGTCGTGGCAGGCGTCCTGTTTTATTCGTGGGCAAAGGGTGAGGCAAAGATCCAGAAACCTGTCGACAGCACGCTCAAGAAGATGCCCCTTCCCCACAAGAACTGCATTGTTTAACCGTAATTTGAATCGTCCAACACGTGCCGTGGAGATGGTGTCACCGAGGGGTTGTCCGGGCAACATGTTCAATACTCAAACGCCGCGCCATTCCGTCCAGCGACGACGACGCGGCGGCGGTATGCACAGCGCGACTCCGCAGAATGCTGGAAGCGGCGATCTTGGCGGCATTCGCGGCCATTTCATTCGTGATGACCACAGCACCAGCATGACTGGCAAGGGGCTCGACGCCCGCGATCCCACCGACGTGAAACAACGAATGCGCGCGCTGGTGCTGCATGAATCGTGGACTTGCTTGGACATCGTCCCACACGGCAGAGACTCGTCGCATTGCAGCCGAGTCCATGGTCGGTTGCGACCGTGCTTCTCGTCGCGAAAACGTGCTGGACAACGTTCTATCGTACGCTACGTCATGTTCGACGAGGGCGGTGACGGCGTTTCCAGCGTCGGTCGCGTCCTCCGACATCGGATGGTCCACACCCGCCGTCGGCGCCTTAATGGAGGCTAGGACAGCATTTGCGTTTAGATTGAGCGATGACTTGGGCACGGCGAGCTGGTGGCGCAGGTCTCGCGCGTGAGAAGAAGTTTCTCGCAGTTTGGACGCCGTGGATTGTCTCGACATGGCCGAGGGTACGTGCATGGGTCCGATCCCGTCGCGATGGACCGACGATGCAGGATGGAGCGTACGAGAGTGCAACGAGTGGAGAAGTGAATCACGCGTGAGGAGTTGCGACGTGCGCTTCAACAAGTCGACATCAAACGGAGGGGACGTATCAGACAGCGTCGCATCCGCTTCAGGTGGTTCGTTTGCTGGCTGCTCGTGGTCAGAGATCGATTGGAGCTGCAAGGCTGCCGCCCCACCACCCAAATCGCGGATCACGCTCTGATGGAAGTCTCCGTCCGGAGCCACGTCGACGGTATCGTCCGTCGTTTCGTGGTGGGTAAACGGAGTCCCTGGCTTGGACGCACTGACGTCCTTGAGCTGCATCAACGGGTTCACGGCTGCTGCACACCAATTGCGCAGATTTCGCGCGCGGTAATGCGGGAACCGCTCGAGCACGTACTCGTACGAGTCGTGGTCCAAGATAAACATGTCGCAGTTGGAGATGGCGCTGCAGCTGCCGGACCGCGGCGTGTTGTGCAGCAGCGACATCTCGCCAAAGTATTCGCCTTTTTGTTTGATCACTTCGTAGCTCTTGGCGGCATTCGTGACCAGCACAAACCCGGTGTGGATGAAGTACATGCTGCGCTCGTAGTCGCCCTCGCGGATGATCACGTCCTTGGCGACAAAGAATTCGGCCTGAAGCACCGACACGATCGCGCGCGTAAAGTCTTGGTCGCACTCGGAGAAGAGCCGCACTTTCGTGATGAGGTCGCGCTTGACGTACACAGCAATGTCTTCCCGTAGCGCGCTCGAGAGCGGTGCGAGCGCCTGCGCCTCGACGACGCCCTCCGAGTGTTCCCACATGTTACGAAAGTACTCGAGGATTTGGATCGTCAAGTGGCGCGGGAATTGCCGATGCATGAGGAACATGGACACGGTGCTCGTCTGCTCTTCAAACTTGAACCGGTTCTTGAATTCGACCTCAAACATCTCAGAGAACCCGCCCGTGAGGACGCCGTACGCCGTGAGCGAGACGAAAATGATAAAGATCGTGGCGATGGTTTGGGCGAGCGACGTGGGAAAGATGTCGCCGAATGTGATGCTCGACAGCGACGTCATCGCGTAGTAGAACGACTTGACGTACGCCGACTGAAGGGTGTCCACAGACGTGTACGCGTGCGGCGACACAAACGCCTCGGGCAGGTGGGCGTAAAAGCCGCTGCTCGCATCTCCACTCGCCACCGACACGTAAAACCACAAGCATGCGACCCAATGCCCCACGACGAGAAAGACGGCAAAGATGTCGCAGAAAGACCAGAGCTGCGGCAGCCACGCCACCGACTTGAAGCGCAATGTGATCGTGTCGCGGGTCTTGGCGCTGAGCGACCCGACGTGGACGAGCCGCAGGAGCTTGTTGACCCGCCAGATGGACACGTCGTGCGACGGGCCGTGGAGAGCAATGGCGATCAACTCGAGCGGCAACGATGCAGCGATGTCGCACCACAAGTTGCCTTTGGTGCGGTAGTGGTGCCGAATCAGGCGCAGGTCCGACGACACTTCACCGCCAATGACTTGGCAAAAGTAGTTGAACCGAAAGTAAACGTCGACCAGCGAGATCCCGTCGACGGCAAACTCGACGCCGAGCCAAAGAGGAACGATGGCGTTCGTTGCTGCCGCCCCCATCAAGTCCTACACAAGTCACACGTGTGTGTGTGAGCGACGATGGCAGGGTGAATCGAATTGTCGCGCACCGGGACAATGAAACACGCGCGCATGGGGATCGCCACGCTGTAGTACATGACGACCGCCAGCATGACCATGTCCCACGACTTGCGAAAAAACGAATGGGGCCGCGTCCACGCCGTGGGCAATCGCAAATCACCCCAAATCGACGCCATCTCGACCAAGTCTGGCGCGCCGTGGGGGGTCACCGATCCTATGGACGCCCGACGCAGCAAGTTCAAGTGTTGAAAGTGATCGTCTGTCTCGTCCAGGACTTCGACGTCGGCCACGTCTTCGTCTTTGAGGTCTTCACCCGGGTAAGCAGGTGGCAGCGACGAATTGTTGCTGCTTCGTTCATTGACCGAACGGCTCGACCGAGTCGACTGGGCAGAATCCGAGGCGTAGACGAGCTGGACGCTGTTCAACCTGTTTCGCATGCGCTTGACGGTGTTGGGACTCTCGCGCTTGAAACTCGATTTGATCGTACGCTGGGGCTTGGGCTTCTTCATGGGCTTGATCACGGGACCCGTGCTCTCGTCGTCGCTTCGAACGGGATGGATCCGCGACGAGCTGTTCTTGGCCTTGGGCTGTCGGGGACGCAGCTTGTCACGGATCGGCGCCATCGCGATCGACGTGGCCGCGAGCTCCTTGAACACGATCAAACGATTGCGGCCATAGGTCGACATGCGGCGGAGACTCGACAAGATTTGCTTGCGTACTTTGGCGTGTGGTTTGGATCTCTTGGTCGATATGAGGTTCTTGAGAATGTTTTTCGTCGCCGACGTCAAGTACTCGTGCTTGAGCCTCAATTCCGTCTGCATCGCGTCCTCGATCGCCCGGCGGCGGGACAATGGCCACAGCCCAATCCAGTCAGCTTTTTCCAAACGCAACAATTCGCAGCACGTGACGGCGCGAACGGACGTGGCGTGCGTTGTATGCGGCAGGAAGAACGCGAGCTCTCCGAACATGGTTCCTTCGTGCACAGCTGCCACGACCAGGTTGCTGACCCGGACGTACTTTTCGGCGCGGCCTTGGTGCATGATGTACAGCGCGGCGCCGATGCCGCCCTCGACGATGATGTTGTCGTGAGGGAGGTAAAGCACGGGAATCAAGCGCTCGGCAATGCTGGCAAGAGTTGCTACGGGCATCTCGCGTGAACGGATGGAGTGTAGTCGTCACACCCCGCCGTACCTGCATCCATGGTGTAGAAGAGCGAGATGCCGCGCAAGCGACTGCCGTACAAGTCGTAAAAGAGTTTCATGCGCAAGCTGTGGGGGAGCTCGCTGAAGATCACGTCGGCCTCCATTCCCCTCGTACAGTCAAACTGGTACTCAAAGTATTGGTGGCCACGCTCGAGTAAGAACTGCGGCAGGTTCTGCGACCGCGCGTACTCGTCAAAATTTTCAATCCGCTCGTCAAACTCATTCGCCTCCTACGTTGCCACGGTCAGTCGGTCCGGGCGAGCCAGCTTTACCTTGTCCATGTGCACGATGATCGATGTCAGTTGCCCAATAACCTGCCCGACAAAGAAGAAGCCCCCAAAGCACGCAAGGCACGTGTAATACGTTTCGATGTTGCTCGCCGGGTGGATATCGCGGTAGTCCATCGCGGTGACCTGGTCCATGGCGCACGTCATTCTCGCTATTGCATCAGTGGCCACGAGTACCGTCGTGAGCGCCCAGTAGAACGACCGAATGTACGCGACGACGGCGTTGCCATCGTAGTGTCGAATGATCAGGTCAATCACAAACCACTCGTGGCTCGACGCGACGTCGTCGTGGGCGTGGGCGGCAGGATCGCCTAGAAAGTAGTAGATGGCGCCCGTGACGTGGGCGACCGCAATTAAGGCCAGGAGGAGCTTGACGAGGCGGAGAATCGCAGAGAGTTTGGCGCTGACAACGCGTTCCTGGATCCAGAGCTGGAGTCGAGTCGTCATGGCGGGTAGTTCCATGCTTCGGACGAGCCGAGGGACGCGGCACCATGCCATCACGTACGTGTTGCCGACGTAGTAGAGCGGCAAGCTCGCGACCACGTCGCGCCGAAACTTGTGTTTTCGGTAGTGGGCGCGGGAATCGGCCATGTCCAAGTGTACAAATCCGTCCAAGTCGACGGTAAAGTGCCAATAGTTGAGGTACATGTCGACAAAGTAGACGCCGTCAAAGAGCAGATTCGACGTCCACAGCGCGCTCATCGTGTCGGGGGACGGGTACTGCAGGAACGCGAGCCGAAACACGACCAGAAACAGGTTGTACAAGATCGCAGTCGCCAAGATGACTGTCCACGCCCGTCGAAACGGATGGGTCGGAGGAATCACGCCAGTTTCCCGCGGAGGCTGGACGTACAGCGTTACGCTGTGTTGGGTCAAGTTGATCTACAGCAGCAGGTCACACCCGTTCACACTAGGAAAATCGGAACCACGTACGAGTTTGTCGCGCCGCATGTTGGCCTGCATGCGCGCCCACAGCGACTCTTCATGCGCTTGCGCGACGAGCGCTCGGTTGTAAATGTACTCCCACTCGTCGGGGAAAAACTTGATGATCTGGTCAAACTCGTTGCGGCGAAGGACACTGAGCTCGGTGGACACCATGACCTGGACGGTCGCGTTGTACGGCACTTCCAGAACAAAATTGAACTCGCCGTAGCAATCGCCGGGATGCAGGATTCGCATGGGGGTCCGCTGGGCCGTCCGGAGCTCGACGTTGCCGGACCGGAGGATGTAGAGATCGCACCCGAGATCCCCGGCGTGCAGGACATAGTCGCCGGCTTGGTAGCTTTCGTGGCGAATGATGGACGCAATCACTTGCTTGCATTCGTCGCCCGTGTCACGAAAGAGGCTGACGTGGTGCAGCGTCTCCGCGTGGAGAAACGTGAGGATTTCGTGTTGGACGTTGTCAGGAAGGACGGACAAAAACATTTCTTCGCTCACGCCTTTCTCTCGGACCCATTGATTCTTGTAATACCGTCGGATGTCGGCTTGGACGGTCGGGCTCACGCCCTTGAACTTCATGAACCGATTGATGAGGAGCAGCGTGTCCTGCGTCCGGTTTTCGTTGGCCATGAGTTGCGCGATCGCCGACGAAATCGCCCCGATCACGCCAAAGTTGATGAGCCCGCTCAAGTAGAACCACACAAACGCGTAGACGCATTCGGCCGTCGTGAACGGAAAGATGACGCCGTACCCGACGGACGTCAGCGTCATGACCGACCAAAACAGAGATCGCGGGTATCTACAGCGCCACCCGAGTTACGAACCACGTTGATCGATCCAAGTCGTGCAGATCGATTCACGTACTCGTCGTTGTGGGGGTAGTGCACCGCATCGTAGAGGAACCAAGTGCAGTTGGCATAGTGCGCGCCGTCGTACATGCACTTGGAGAGCGTCAAGTCGCTCCGTACCCAGTCCATGCCGTACACGACGGCGCGAGGAACTTGCATGTCGGCAATGAAAAACCAAAAGCACCCTGCGATGTGCGTGACCAAGAGCACGCCCATAGACAGGTACACGACGGTTTGCATCGACGTGCTGACGTGGTAGGCTTCGAGGACGTCGGACAACACCGACTGAAAGTATCGGAGGCGAAGCAGGCGGAGGATTCGGCCCGCGCGAAGGACGTTCACAAATGCTCCCCTGTTGGCAAACGACATATTAGAACGCCGCCCGATGGCGACAGCCACGTACGTGTCCTGGGGGATGAGATCTCCGACCAGCGCAATCGGAACGACCGCCGCTAAGTCCCACCAAAGGTCCTTCGACTCTTTGTACCGCGCAAAGATGAGGTCCGAGTCGACGACTGGCGCCGTATTGACGATGGATGACTTGTCTTCGAAGGCAAAGTATCGCATCATGAGGATGATGTGCGCGCCGTGGAAGAGCTCCATCCCCATCGCAGACGCATAGTTGAGCGTGTTGAGGAGGAAATCTGACACGTTTTCCGAGTTGGAAAAGATGAGCTTGTACGGGACTTCGACCGCGACATACACGAGCGACGCCAAATACAGCGCCGACCACGTGGTACGAAACCTAGGACAAACACACATGAACAAGTCACGAAGGAGGATGGTCGCTGTACTTTGAGTTAGGGAGCGTCCACTTGCCGGCGCTGCGGTCGTGGCTCGCGAGCAACGTTGTCAGCGAGGTTGTTTGGCCTAGCAGCTTTTGCGTCTTGAGCAACTGGTGCTCGCGCTGCTCAATTGCAGCGGCCATCGCGGCCTTCTTGGCTTCGAGCGCGCCGTCTTGAGTGTAGAACGCACCGAGGACGGTCTCGAACACGTCGCGATTGAGCTGATACAGCTCACAGAACGTTTCGGCCAGCGCCTTGTACGCAAATCCGTGCTCGACAAAGAGCGCAATGTCACCAAATGTGTCGCCTTGGGTCAGCTTAAACTGAATGTTGTCCAACTTGTCGACCAGCACGACTCGGCCCCTCGAGATGAACGACATTTCTCGAACGCGAGCCGTTTTTGTGATCCAGTCGAGCGGCATGTACACTTGGGATGTGAGGAGCGTGGCCAAGTTTTGGATCACGTTCGGGCGTTCGTCTGCGAGGAAGTGTACCTGAACGAGTATTACCCATGAGTCCTCCCCCACGCTCCCCTCGACTGTCGCGACAAGTACGAACCCGGGCAATGACTTGCGCCTTGAGGACGTCGATGCATTGGGTTTGGAAATGGATGGGGAGGGTCGCAATCACGTTGGTTTCGAGGATGCCGAGCTGGACGCGCCAAAAGTAGTCAAAATACCCCAGCACCTTGTTACGTAAATGCATGGGTAGGTTGCGCGACTTGGAGTACTAGCAACGGGGGGCACGTCCGTCAGTCGCGACGCAGCTTGTAGCAGCACTACATACCTCGCGCGCATCTTCGACGAGAGCGATGTACGCCGATCGGCTCGTGTTTTGATGGCCATGGACCAACTCGAATCCGCCGATGAGTGCACAGCTCATGAGAGCCCGTGCGACTTGAATGCAAATCGACATGCACCGCTCGGCAAACGAGTACGACGTGGCGTCACCGTACGTCACGATGAGCATCGTGCGAACGTACTGCGCAAACAAGTTGAGGTCGCCCAGTTGTTTTTCAATTGCCCAGCACGTCTTGCCAGTGACAGTCGCCACCGCGCCAGACAGTCGACGTTGATGAGAAGCGTTCGAACCATCGGATGGCTCACAGAGGTCGAGGTATCGACCGCACTCGAGGTGGGCCGCCAACATGTAGCCGCACCCGATCCAGTGAAACACGATCAAGTTGAATAGAGCCATGGTGACCAAGAATCCCTTGGCGATGTTGTGCAGTTGCACAAGCAGATTGTGCGTGGCCAGGTACGTTTTGAATGCGCTAACGACGCGACCGAGATTGATCAGACGCAGCAACTTGGGCAGCCGGGATACGTGGACGGCATTCACTCCACCGACATAGTACGCGACAACGTCCATCGGTAGGAGGGCAATCCCTTCCAGGAGCAACTGAAAGGATGGAATGTAGGCCAGCGTCCTGGCCGAGATGCTCGTGATAAAGTGCAAGTGCCGGAACGACACCGTGGCGTTTCTTGAGTCAATAGAAGTGCTTCGACGACCAGTCTTGTGTGGCCGAACCAGCGAGCTACTGGTCGTTCCACCTGCAACGTTGCCACCACCGAGTCGCGGGGCGTGGTGGGAGCTAGTCGAGTTGCGCCACGTCTTGCTCGTTTCAGAACCTCCTCGTTTGGACGGCGATTGCATTCTTTGCGCTTGAACAAAGTAGTAAAAGTTCACTGCTCCAAATGAGTCGGCAGCAATGTCGAGGACAAGGTATGGCCACACAATGTCGGCGTAAGCTACATCGCTCGCATGGTCGTAAGGATCGAAGATAAACCCCAATCGAAATGGGATGCTCCATAGGTAGTACAGAAGCTGGACCACATACACCGCGATGTACATGAACTCGCGAATCTTGGCGAACTGCCGTTGTAGCCGCTTCTTGGCCTGTCGAGACTGCGGCGATGGCAGGGGTGCATGATGGACGTGATGGTGAGGCGTCGGCTGTGTGTGTGCATACCGGTACCGAGCGGGCAAGAAGCCCCGGAAATCATCCAAACAGCGACGGAGCATGCTGTGCTCACCCGGCGATCGCTGCGTTAATTTCCGCCGCAAAGTGCCCCTTCGACCTGTGAGCGAAACCGTTCGCTGAAGAAACCGACAGTCGTAACGTTTTTGTGCTAACATGGAGAAAACAGTACAACCACTGCACCTCCCATCGACGATGTCGTTCAGAATCGATTGGCGCTGTGTATGGCACCAGGAACCAGCAGCGTTCGGCGTAACAGCATGGAAACGCCCTTCGCGCATGCATTAGGTCGTATATTGACCATCATCTGTCGATGTGGAACCAATGGTTTGGGCTGGTGCAAGCGAGTTGAGCCAAGCCTGTGTCTCATCGGGGTGGTAGAATCGAAGGACTTGGAGGTGGGGATGCTCCTGGAATAGAAGCGGGTACTCTCTTCTTCGCCGCCAAAATGTCTTGAATAGCCAGTACACTAGCGAGTCATCCGACCAAATCTTGAAATGAACCCACAACGTCTCGTAGTTGGTCCCCCAAAGCAACTCGCGCGTCCACCAACGCGACACGGATCGGCGGACGAGTTGCCACAAGACCAACCACAATGGATAATCGAGCCAAACGACGACGTTTGCTCGAGACAAAACCATCTTCCGAACAGAACTCGAGGCGCTGGCCATAACCCACGTCGGTCCCGACGTTGCCTCGGTGACCTTTTCAACGTAGTCGGCAGCCTTTTGCCAATTCGGAGCCCACAACAAGGCATCCGATTCTATGAACGGGATGTCAAGTTTCTTTGAAAGTGTCGTGCCCAGCGTCGACTTGCCGCTGGATGTCACTCCCATGATGGCAATGCGACTGGGCGTTGGCGCTTGCATCCTGCTCGAAACAACATGGCACTTCGAGCAGACGGAATGGACCAGCACTCGGTCGTGAATTTAACGTAGTGGTTTTAAGTTTGGACAAGTTCAATGTTGCCAAAATGGAGCACAAAAGCCAATCGTATTGCATGCAAATAGGGTTAAACTTATTTCGTCCACATGAGGTTAAACACATGTCGACTTGAAGGTCGCCCCATCGGTGCCGAGGACGATGACTTTCGAGAGAGCAGTAGTTGTCGGCTTGAGCGGCGCGGGCAAGTCAACCCTGGCCCAATCCCTCGCGAACAAGTTGGATTTGGTGTTTATCGACACGGATGCGTTGTTATGGGAGCCAAATTGGCAACGTGCCATCGACTACGACGACAAACTGACCAAGGCATGTGATGGACCGAAGTGGGTGGTGGCTGGCGCTGACCACCTTGCGTTCGATCGAGCGACGGCGGTTGTATGGCTCGACTACTCTTTATGGACCACGTTTTGGCAACTCTTTTGGCGGACGATGAAGCGCTGTTGGACCCAAGAGCTCTTGTGGGGTACCAATCGCGAAAGCATTTGGGTGCAGCTCCAGCTGTGGTCCCCCAACTCTGTGTTCAATTGGCTCTTCAAGAATTACTGGAATCGAAAGCGGGCCTATCCAGGTCTCTTTGCTCAATATCAACACTTGACTGTGCATCACTTCAAGACGCCGGACGAGACTGCCGCGTGGTTTCACAACTTGCACCCTTCCGCTAGGGTGACGAGCTAGGCGTTTGTGCAACTAATGTGCTCCATCCATTGGAAAGAATAGCGTTGTAGTAGAATCAAGCCTCGATTTCAACACGATGTGGGGACAAATCGAACCAGAGTGCATCGAATGAATTCGTTGTTCCACCACAGGCAACACCACCCCCCTGTTCAAGCTCGAGCCTCGTCAACTCAGAATCTCCGCTCGTTCTTCACGATGATGAAGCGGGGCAGCGTGAAAGTGAACCATGGCCTCCCTACCAAGAGGTCGCCCGACAACCCTTTCTTGTGGTCGATGGTGGTATAAACATCATTCTCAGGAGATGACAGTAGAATGCTGGTCTTTAGTTGTGGAATTGTTTTGGTGGGATGAGGAATTTGCCAAGACACACGAGACGGAGGAGGCAATCCATTTTGGACGCACCACCAAATGACCCTGAACGAGCGCGAAGCTGGGCTGTTTCCGACGTCCCGACGAATGCCACGATGAGAATGATCTTGCATGGATGTAAGGCCGTCATTGGAGCTGTTAAGTCTTGTACGCACTCAATCTATTCAACTGCCACCTCCGACGGGCGACTGGCAACCGACCTGTTCAGTCACGGCAACCTTCAGTGGGCTATCTCGTTTCAATCACTAAATGCACGGATCCATTTGTTTCAACAAACCCTGTCATTGTCGTAAGTCGAAACCAACGGCACTGTCGTCATAGCTTTAGTTGGATGGGCAGGTAGCGAGGGACATCCGAGGCGTTGTGGTACGAGCGTTTGGCTCGTGTGCACGACGTTTGGCAGGGTGAGAATACCCGGTGCCGTGGCCGCCATGTTGGCGTCGACCTCCGCCACCTTGCTGAGGTAGTTGGGCTGGAGGGATAGCGACCCAGTTGTGTGGAAATTGGAAGCCGCGACGCACAGCGTTTTGGTGGAAGGCCCGTGACAGCTTGGTGCAGTCGTAGGTAGAGTGACCCGACGTACAACAGTAATCACAAGTGCCACGAGTGACGCGTTCCGCTTTGCGTTTGGCGCGGCGGAAAGCATTGCCGTACCCACTGTCGGTTGGCGGAGGTTGGTTCAATCCACCCACGTGAAGCGCCGACGTTCGAGTCACGTCAGGTGCTGTAGCGGACCCGTGAGAACCCGAAGACGGCCGAGCCCCAAGGAAATCGGGATACCGCAGTGTTAGGTCGTGCCAATATTGCGCCAAAAGGGTTCGCAACTCGGCGTACGGAATGCTCGGACGAGCTCCGCGCCACACGTATAGGTCCGGCGTTATGCACGGAGGCAACGCCGTTAGTAGGGCAGACGAGAGGTGGGAGTCACTAAGGGTTCGACCACCGTCCAGCTTTTCGACACTGTGTCGAAGCTTGTCAAACATCCCAAGATTCACTTCAAGTGAGAC